TTTGGCTGTCAACTTCCCATTTGCTTCTGGCATAAATTAGCTTAATTTATGTGCTCATTCATTAACTTCCATTTCATTTCGGGAATCATCAGACAAAGTTCAATTAAATCCAACTTCCAAGAAGTCATTTCCTGTAAATTGATAGTCATAGACTTCATTTTTAAATTGATTTTTTTTGACTTTGTCTCAATAAAATAACTTTAAATAAATGCCATTCAAATCGTAATTGGCAACAAAATATTCCATTTGTCTGATTAACAATTTAATTTTCGTTAAATGTATTTCACGGTACCATCGAGATGTCATAATTTCATCTACATTTTTGTTTTAATGCCAACATAAATTTCCTGTTTTTTTGTAAACTTCTCCCTTGATGCATTATTTATGACTGTATCAATATAAGGATAAATGTATAAAAATTGATATTTATTTGCTGGCGAGGAAAAGCTTACAGTACGTGCCAATAAACACTATGATATATTAATGTTTGCATTTATTTATGGCGTTCTAAAGTAAAGTGCCATTTAATATTAAAGCTTCGAGGAAGGAAGCCAGTCAAATGGGTTAAATGCAATGTTTTATGCATCAAATTCAATTTCGATGTCACGTCAACGTCGGATGGGCAATGTTTTATTTAATCCACAGCCCCTCCTGTTCACTTGAGGGATACATAAATCGAGAATTTATTGTGTTCTTCATTACTTAGATGAAGGAAATTCCATTGGCACACATTTCCGCACCAACAGATGTTGGTGTGTATTTTATTTGTGTAATTCCTTTAGAGGACTAATCGATAGCACGTGACGCTTAAAGGTGAACGACTGTGTCACTCTGGGTTGAACGCACAGATAAGACAAAAGGCGGGGGGAAAATTGTGGGTGGGCCGGGGAGGAAAAGCCGGCATCCACACGGCAACAGGATGACAACGAGGACGTCACACAAATTGACTTTTTAAGTAGGCAACAATGTGGCTACAGCTGACGAAGGACGTTGGCAGTGGGGCTGCGGCAAACCCAGTATAATAATAATGGAGCGCAATAAAAAAATGTGGGCGAAACAGAACCATTTCCATTCCCATTTTCATTTTGCCAACCAACCCCCGAAAACCCCCTTATCAAAGACGCTCTACAATTCTCAGTGTGTGTGTGTGTGTGTGTGTGTGTGTGTGTTTTTGTGGGGCTGTCATCGGGAAATGACGGCATTACGGCATTTACAGTTAATGCCTTTATGTCCTCGAGGATTTGGCCTGACATGCGGTTGGTTTGGGCCCCCCCTCCCCCTCCTCCCCAGGGGAATCACATTCTTTTGCATAATATTTGATTTTATTAGACAGTGGTGAGACCATTGGCGCAACTATTTTGGGGTAGATTGTTAATTTGGCCTAAATATAGGCCAAAAGCTTAGTTTAAAATGCTTGGGGATCAGAGGAAAAACAAAAAAATGGAACTGGGATTTAATAAATTTAGTTGTATACATATTTTGTTAAAAAGTGGCCTTTATTTGTTTATTGGTTTAAATTTAAAATAGGCTAGCTTTATTAAAGTCAGCAACTCTACTATGATCAGTAATTTGCATAGGATTTCTGTTTCAACCATTGCCGCCCTTTAGATACATTTTCTAGTCAATGAATTTATGATTCCATTATTGTTATTAAGATTAATAGACTATATATTTTCTCCCACAATTCCGTAAACTAATAATAATTGACTAAGGGATTTGGATTTATTGACCTCGTATTTTCTATTTCCATCTTAACAAAACCACACGCATCATAACTGACAAGCTTTTGCGTTTGTGTTGCCGTATTTCGAGGGCATTCAAAGCCGCAATAAGCAATTAAGTATTCATTTAGTTTTGTCAACTTCAACAATGGAAATTCATTGGTCGTGTGCAACAACACAACCATCAACAACCCACAACACATGACCCCTGAACCCCCAAAAAGTGAACTAGAAAATTACATTTTCATGTCATACACACATATAGTCGACACAGACATAAACGACGTATCGCTTGTCAGCGGTAGAAACCCAAAAATTTGGTAACTGGCAGCTCTGTTTCTCGTTTGTTGGCCATCACAAGCCATCAACTATATTCGTACACCTTTTCGATTCCACCTCTTTGCCAGCAATCCCCAATCACCCATTTGGATTGGGTTTTCTGATATGGCAATGCATTGGGGCTATAAATCGCTCCTATGTGTCCTATGTGCCACCTGTCGGTCTAGGGACAAAACATATCAAAGTGGGAATATTATTATACAGAGGGATTTTATGGCATTTACATTGGTGGGACATGTTAATACCCTAAATAAAAATAACAAGCAAATAAAATATATTCAGGAGTGCCAACGAAATCTCTAGGGGATTCGAATTCACTTGAAAATGTGTCTAAAAATAAGCAAGTCAAAGTATTATTTTAGAAATGGTTTATGGCATACTTTTTGATACCTTTTGAATATATTTCAAATCAATAGAATATCATTAAATGCATTTTCTCTTTTCTAATGAAGAGTGCGGGTTTATTAAACAACAAAGTAAAACATTTCAATTTACTGTAAAAACATTGACTCAGCTCATCTTAATAAGTTTTTGATAACATTATTCCCGTATTATCCTTTCACTTCATCCCATCCTAAGCCCTTCAACGGTTTCGTTCTCTTTGTTTAACGGGTAGTGAAAAATAATCCAGTCACTGACTTTTAAAGTACATCTCGTAAAGCTGTGTACATAATTGTATAAAATTTCCCAACATTATTTGCAGCTTCAATGCTGGCTACTCTGTTTCGTTCACGTCGACCCCAAAAATAAAGGTTGCTTGACCCCCGTGGAACTTTTCACTGTTGTTGCTGGGCGAATGGGTTCATGAACTCACCGAAAAACAAACTTTGACTTTTTATGGGCAAATGAACGCAAATCCAGTCAAACTTTTATGGTTGTTGCTGGCGGATTTTAAAGCGCCACACGTTGTGTTTATCAAGTTGAGGGGACAATAAACGCAGACGTCGCGCCGACGAAACTCAGACAGTTTAAATGTCCTGGCACAATTTCCACACTTCAGGCACTGTTGCCTCCCGTTCTTGGCTGTCAAGTCAGCAACACTTTCCACCATTTTCATTCCGAATGGCATTCTGTTGGTCCTTCTTGCTGTACTGAAAGAAAAACTATGAGGTAATTTTTTTTTAATTTCCTAAAAATTATTACGAAGAGGTTCTGCCCTAGATAAATATAAATACTTCAAAACCGTTTGAAAATTAAATTTTTTTTCTTAAATGCATATAAGAATTTTTTTGTTAAATCTTATAAAATTAAACAAAAAGAAAACACCCTTTTCAAATGGTAGAATATTCCCATCTAAATATGGGCCTCAAACAATATAGAAAATTCCTTTTCCGAGCGCATCCGCTTTGTTTGCTAAGGATTGAAAAGTCGCCCGAGCGCTTACTTGAGTCTCGGGTTAAACATGGCTTTAATAATTGACGGCATGCCATGCCAGGCGGACCGGAACAATGACAGGATATTAGCTAATGCCGCAAATGCATCCTGGCCACTGCCGGCAGAGCGACAATTTCATGCCAGCTGCGCACACACAACAAATGCGCAACAATAACAATTAAAATTGGAAACTGCAGCAGCAATCTAGATTGCCAGGGGAGTGTGCGAGTACGAGTACGAGTAGTAGAGCCATCGAGTGGTTCAACCTTGGCCTCACAACGCTCGCCCATGCCATCCTCAACTCCGCATTGGAGACCATAATTATCCAATTGAACAATAAACAGATGCCTGCCAGGCTTGAGTCAATAGACAATGGCATGCTCATGCCAGAAAGAAGTTGAGCCTGCCCAGCTGGCATCCTTTCAAATGGTTTGGTTGTCGTTGTCCTGGCTCTTGTTGTTTGGCTGCTGCTGTTACTGCCGCTGCTGCTGCAGTTGTTGCAGCAGTTGCAGCGGCTGATGTTGCTGCTGTTGCTCCTGCATTTGCTGTATTGTGGTTATTGTGGCATCGTCGAAAGGTTGTGTGCAACTGTTGGCCTCCGGCAGATGAGAGTGATGAGTTTTCCAAGCCAGAAACATTGATAACAGCAATATCTTTGGGGGAATTAAATTGAGTTTTAACAGAAAAACGTACAAAAAAGTTATAAGAGTGAAACTGTACAAAATCTTTAAAATATTGATCATAAATATTTATCAATTAATAAAATATAGTATTATTATAATTTGTACTTAATTTTTTATTTATAAATAAAGTTCATACAAGTTTTTAAATAGTTGTATTATTGGAAATTTAAACAAAAACGTATCAAAAGGCTAACAACTCCCTTGAAGACTTAAATTCCACTGTTCTTCTCTCCTCTTATATAACAAAATAATAGCAAATAGAAACTCAAACTTAATAGGTGAATTACGACCATCTTAATTGCTTTATTTTATTGCTATAAATAAATTTAATTAGCACAAGGTAAAGAATGTTAATTAAAGCGGCTTTTATATCAGAGTGGCAAAATTTAATTGTATCTGCAAATTATAATTATATCAGTAAACAAATTACGGATAACACAGAATTTGTCGCAATACAAATGGTAAAATTATAATATTAAAACCATTTAAAACATTTATATACAAATAAATGGGTAAAATTATAAATTAATAAGCAAATTAGGCCAATTAAAGCTGACATGTTGTATTTAATTTAAAATTAAAATCTCTGGGCATCTCTATAATAAGGGAATGATGAGCCCAAAGCTACTAAAAGGGGATTGCACTGTATAACAACTGGATTTGCCCGCCGGCCAAGTCAAGTGTAATAATGTGCCAAAAACGTTTAGAAAGCCACAGGATGCCGGACAATTGGCAAAAGGCAACTGCCCGGCTGAGTGGACACGGGTCAGTGACTGACTGCTGAGGGTCCTTTGTCTGGGGCGAAATGCTTATTTAATGAATATTTATTAACACTAACTAATTTCGGTTTCTCTGCTTTTGTTTACTTTTATTCGGCTCACAGGTGACTGACGACCGACGGCCAGCAATGTGCAGACGGTCGCTGGCTGAAATTGCTGGCAGGACACAGACACAAACCGCAAGGATCAACCCAATCAACGAGCAGCAGTTGCAGCTGTGAATGCAACAGCAACTGACAACTGGCAACCGGCAACCAGCAACATTGGCTACTTTTTATATATATCCAAAACGAAATGCGTTTTTGCAGCTCGGCCAACAAGAACACACAGATAGCAGTTGATAGATGAACTAATGCAAATGCCCTCCAATTGCAACTTTTGATGCAAACTTAAGGCAGGGGCCCAACATATAAACCCAACTTGACTGATAGTTTAAACTACTTACCATAAAGAAACCGAACAAAAGAAACACAACACACGGCTGCAACTAATTTTTAATTAATTGTTAAGGACAACAACTCGTTAATTGCCAAATATGTGTTGCCCCAACTGAAGCTGAAACAAAACGTAGTAGCATCATAATTTAGGGGAAAAAAACATTTAAAAGCAAAACCGTCACGAAAAGCTGAAGATCAAGAGTTCGCGCCGGGAGATACTTGCATAAGCCATGGGCAACAAATGCTGCAGCAAGCGACAGGATCAGGAATTGGCACTTGCCTATCCCACGAGCGGCTACAAGAAATCCGACTACACCTTTGGCCAGACGCACCTCAACAGCAGCGGCGGCGGCAACATGGGCGGCGTACTCGGCCAGAAGCACAACAACGGGGGTTCGCTGGACTCGCGCTATACACCCGATCCAAATCATCGGGGTCCTCTGAAAATCGGCGGAAAGGGCGGCGTTGACATCATCAGGCCTCGCACCACACCAAGTGAGTATTTTTCCGAATAACCCAATCTAATATGCGTATCATCATCCATTAGTAATTACAGTCAAACCTCTATACTACAGAATCCAAAACCCCCTTATTGAACTACAAATTACATTTACTAAAGTACATAAATTTGGTTTATTTTAATCCATTATATATAAAATATTGGTAATTCCATTGTTTTTAAATTGTTTGCTTTTCAAAAAAGATCTTTAAAAATTCATGAAAAGTATGAAACATAATAATGGAATTATTTAATACGAGAGTAGTTTCTCACGAATGAATTTATTATCAGAAATTGTAATTTGGAACTTTAAATTGAATTAAAGCTTTGGGAAATTGTAGTTTGGAATTTTAAACTTTTTCCACTTAATTTTGCAGCGAGATGAGTTGATGATGTTGAAGCTTCCCTGTTTGTTTACATATTATCATGCATTAGTAATTATCTTTGCGCTGTTACTCTCCTGGTCCGTGGGTGGAGAGATAATTCCAGCTTTTAATTAGCAATTTGACTTTTTGCCTGCCGCAGAGATTGGCTTTTACACGCTGGTTGGCCTTGTGTTTGCATAATGTGGCAAGCAGGGGCCGCCAGGCAACCAGCTAACTAACTAACCTGCCACATATCCAACAACTACTCGTACCCCACTTTCATAATTAGAGTTCGCCTCCCAGGAGGTTCAGAGGTGGAGTCAAGTCATTTGCCAGGTGGCAACGCAATTCTCATATTTGCAGTGGTAATACGATGACAGTCGTTAACCTTGACCAGTTCTCGGATGCGTGGCCCAGAAATGAAAGGGGACTGCTAATGGTGTTGGTTTAATGCCACCTTGACGATATTGCATACCACATGACACGGCATTGCGTTTCTTTACGAGACCCCCGAGAGTTGGGCAAGGAGTTGCAGCTAAGGAAGAGTTTTATAAATTGCCAGCGGCTTCTATGTATATTTGCTACAAGCAAACTTCAACGCTCAGAAGGGGAAATCGCAAGAGAAAGAAATTAGCAATGTAAACAATGGGGTCGCTTCAAGCTCCTCTTAGATTAGCATACATTTTTGTACCGTTGCAGAGGGTATAGACTCTATAGCTTTAACAAACTTAATAAGATTATAAGGTGACATTCCTCTTAAGACTTGTGGTTTGATTCCATTGACCCATTTTTATTGGACTTTAGAGTCTATAACTTTACCAAAGTTCAAAGTTTTCAATTTAACGTTGATCAAATTTTTGACCCATTTTCATGTTAGTTATTTCTAAGTTTCCGATGTGTTGTTAAACGGTGACCCACAATTGAACTTCTACATTCCATAACTTCACCAAATTTAATCCGATTCCAAAGTGGCATACCTCTAAAGACTCGTGATTTGATTCTCTAAAAATCTGCATTCAAAATTTTCAATTTAGCGTTTATCAAAATTTTGACCCATTTTCATGTTAGTTATTTTTAAGTTTCCGACGAGTTGTAAAAAGGCAACAACAATTGGACTTCTAGATTCCATAACTTTACCAAATTTAATCCGATTCCAAAGTGGCATACCTCTAAAGACTCGTGATTTGATTCTCTAAAAATCTGCATTCAAAATTTTCAATTTAACGTTGATCAAATTTTTGAGCCATTTTCATGTTAGTTATTTTCTAATTTTCCGATGTCATGTAAAAGATTGACTTAAAATTGGACTTCGAGAGTCAATAACTTCACCAAATTTAATCCGATTCCAAAGTGGCATACCTCTAAAGACTCGTGATTCGATTCTCTAAAAATCTGCGTTCAAAGTTTTCAATTTGACGTTGATCAAATTTTTGACCCATTTTCATGTTAGTTATTTCTAATTTTCCGATGTCTTGTAAAAATGTTACCCAAATTTGGACTTTAGAGTTCATAACTTTACCGAATTTAATCCGATTTTAAAGTGACATGTCTCTAAAGAATTGTGTTTTGATTCTCTAATAATATGAACTATATCATATAGCTGGCATAGGAACAATCATTTATTTGACCTACAAGGCAGTTGGGTCTAAACAAGACTTCTATTATGGGATGATTTAATAGTAATGCATTTTAATGACAGAAAAGGCTTAATGATATAGAAACCCCTTAATATATGGGTATAACTCAATTTAAATAACTTTTTATTTATGCCTTTGCCACATTTTCACCGTACCATCTGGGGAAACGTTGAGTTTGGTCTAACCCATTCACTGATGGAAATCAACATATAGCTGTCACCTTTGTTTACCAATGAAATGGCAGAATTATTTTGATCTGACCTGTGACTAGCTGAGAATGCAGACCTCGCTGGCAGCCAATTAACTGCTGGTATTCCTATTCGTGACATGACAGTACTGCTTTATACTTGGTATATATCCGCCTATATGGCGGTAAAGCCGCTTAGGTCGTGTAAACCCATCAAAAGGTTGAGTGCTTGGCCAGTGATTTGTGCCGCCTTTGTCAGCACGAATATTGCATTGGCATGGGTGTGGTGAAAAGGGGTAGGGCTACCATCCAGGGGGTTAAAAGGGTATGGCCAATGGAGGGCAGCAAACGGCCAAGGCAACTGGCAAAGCGGCGAGAGCAGTTTATTTATGCGTTGCCTTGCTGTGGGCTAAATCAATTAGCCAAATGCAAGTCAGTGCCAAAAATTGCGGCTTGGCAGCGGGCACGAGGCATGGAATGAAATTGTTTTGTTGTTTATGGCCTCCAAAAAAGTATGCTATCCAATTTGCAATTTGAATTTTGGCACCCACTTTTCTCCCATACTTTAACTCATTAAATTCTAATTAAGTTTTGGCGATAGCAAATTGGTTAGTCAAATAGGGAAAGAAAATCAAAAAAATACTACCCAATTTGTCGCCATAAATTGCAATTTAAGGACGCAAATCAAATTTGCCCAGCCAGACGAAAATTGTCACTAACTCGACCTCTTTTGCCCCATTCTCCCATCGTTTTTTCCAGCCGGGGTTCCTGGTGTCGTGCTCAAGCGCGTGGTCGTGGCCCTGTACGACTATAAATCCCGCGATGAATCCGATCTGAGCTTCATGAAGGGCGACCGCATGGAGGTCATCGACGATACCGAGTCCGATTGGTGGCGCGTTGTGAATCTGACCACCCGCCAGGAGGGCCTCATCCCGCTCAACTTTGTGGCCGAGGAGCGGAGCGTCAACAGCGAAGAGTAAGTGCCTGTTTCCCTCAAAATTTAAATGATTTAAGGTATAAGAGATTGGAAAGAATATTTAACAGTGTAGAACCTTTTTAACACTTTTAAACTGTCCACATTTTAATAATTTCACAGATTTATAAATATTTTTAAAATCTGATAAAAGCATTTTTACCCTTACCTACCATTTCGTCTTTGAAAAAGCCTTTAAGTTTAATGCCTATTTAACAACCAACATTTTCCTGTTAGCTTTTATAAAAATTGAATAAGCGTCGTGAATTGAAATTAAATATTAAAACAACTTATTCTACCTGCAGCTGGTTCTTTGAGAACGTGCTACGAAAAGAGGCGGACAAGCTGCTGCTGGCCGAGGAAAATCCGCGTGGCACTTTTCTTGTCCGACCATCGGAACACAATCCAAATGGCTACTCGCTGTCCGTGAAGGATTGGGAGGATGGACGTGGATATCATGTAAAGCACTACCGCATCAAGCCGCTGGATAATGGCGGCTACTACATAGCCACCAATCAGACGTTCCCCTCGCTACAGGCCTTAGTCATGGCATATAGCAGTGAGTATACAGCTTAAAATCCGTGTGTGATTGTAAAACCTATTTAATTATTTCCTTATCTCTGAAGAAAACGCTCTTGGCCTGTGTCACATACTGTCGCGTCCCTGCCCTAAGCCGCAGCCACAGATGTGGGACTTGGGACCAGAGCTGCGCGATAAGTACGAGATTCCGCGCTCGGAGATTCAGCTGCTGCGCAAACTGGGACGCGGCAACTTTGGCGAGGTCTTCTACGGCAAGTGGCGCAACAGCATTGATGTGGCGGTCAAGACACTTCGCGAGGGCACCATGTCCACGGCTGCGTTCCTCCAGGAGGCAGCCATCATGAAGAAGTTCCGCCACAACCGCCTGGTGGCCCTCTATGCGGTTTGCTCGCAGGTGAGTGGATTAATTATTAAATAAAAACTATGTTTATTAATGATGTTTCTCTTTTTCAGGAGGAGCCCATTTATATTGTTCAGGAGTACATGTCCAAGGGAAGTCTGCTAGACTTCTTACGCGAGGGCGATGGCCGGTACTTGCACTTTGAGGATCTCATCTATATAGCCACACAAGTAGCCAGCGGCATGGAGTATCTGGAGTCCAAGCAGCTCATTCATCGTGATCTGGCGGCCCGTAATGTGCTGATTGGGGAGAATAATGTGGCGAAGATTTGTGATTTTGGATTGGCGCGTGTGATTGCGGATGATGAGTACTGTCCCAAGCAGGGATCACGGTTTCCAGTCAAGTGGACGGCGCCCGAAGCGATTATCTACGGGAAGTTCTCGATCAAGTCGGACGTATGGTCATATGGCATACTGCTGATGGAGTTGTTTACGTACGGACAAGTGCCCTATCCGGGCATGCATAGTCGCGAGGTGATCGAGAATATTGAGCGCGGTTTCCGTATGCCGAAGCCAACGAATCACTACTTCCCGGACAATATTTATCAGCTGCTGCTCCAGTGCTGGGATGCTGTGCCCGAGAAGCGGCCGACGTTCGAGTTCTTGAACCACTACTTCGAGTCCTTCTCAGTCACGTCGGAGGTGCCGTATCGAGAGGTGCAAGACTAAAAAGAGTCCAGCCTAATCACACACATCACCTACACTCTCTCACAGGCATACACACACGTACGATATATATATACATATATATATAGTATATAAAGTTATACATATATTATACATTTATATGCATATTTACTATAATTCTTAAGACTTTTTAATGGCATAGTTGCATACCAACCAACACAACCATGAACTCTATATGTATGGTAAATGTATGTGTTTAAGCGTATCTAAACAATTCAGAAACCAACTACAAACAACAAAAAATCAACAAAACAAACAAAAAAACTAAAAATCGGAAAAACAAAATTTTATATTTTACACGCAAAACTATTTTATAATTTATATACCTAACTGTATGTACTATGGAAATAGAAAGTATTTAACTAGTTTTGTAAGCTTACCCAGAAACAGAAACGGGCCGTAAAATGATACCAAGAAATTGAGAACAGAACTTACAAGAAATTGATGGCAACTCTATTGAATTTCAAATCGAATACAGCTTCAATTTAACGCTACTTTAATCGGTGCTTAGGTTTTATGTATAAACAATCCAATCCAATCTACAACTAGAACTTTTTGATCTTAATCTCCCTCTGCTGAATAGTTTCTTCTGATACTTTCCACACACACACGACTATCGACTAAGCCAAGTATTATTTGACTCAATCAATCCGTATCAAGAAATCGAACATTTACGTATTTCAAATTGTTGCTAATGAGAAACTCCAATGATGGCATTTACTTATAAGGTGGCGCCCACCCCTCGTCTCTACTTCCAAGTCAAAAAATCTAGATGATCTATCACCCGAAACGAAATATTATATGTTGCTCCATCCTCGAGTAGTTGAGGCTAGAAAAAAGAAAAGCAAAAATTGCATTTTGTACAAATCATGAAAAGAAAAATAACGCATTTCACGTATTTCGTTGTTAGCAATTGAACCAATGAATGTTTATAGTACATTTAAGTTTATGCCAAAATTATTGTTTATTCTTTGTTCGTATACTTAAGCACAAGCAACACAATTGGGCACTGTCCATGTAGTCTAGATATATCTATTGATGTACAACCTGCAGCGTTGGCCCGCATTTAGTTCCTCTCCAGACCTGCTGTTCCTTGCGTGTGCAGCCCAAATCAATAGCCCGACTCAAGCCATAAGGATAAACTGCTATCTCAAGGGTTTCAAATGCAAAATATCAGACGATAACGATTCTTACCGATCCATGTATCAACCAATCAATCACACAAAACACTTACCTATCTTAGCTTCTAGATGACCAACACGAACAGATCCAGATAAAACAACACACATGAATCGAACATCGATTGAGGAGACTTTATTTAATTTATTTGATTTTTGTTATAGTTTTAGTTTGTCGTTCATCGATATAGTACATATAGCATATATTGTGTTGGCCATTGTGTGCACATTCTGTAGCATAAAACCAAAGTTTAGCATTTCGTATTGAGATATATGTATTTGTAAAGAAGATTTATACGGCAACTCAAAGCATTTCACACGTAAACACACACAGAAATCAGTTTATAGGATAACCAGGCTTAAAAACTAACGAGAACAACCAATCATTGTATGAAATTGCATTCAACGTAATCACAACGGAATCACTGCAAATAATTAATTAAAATATTGTTATAATTCACAGGCAAAACTGAAATTGTTTAGCGTAGTTGATGAATTTTTGTATATAAACTTGACATAACGTGTAGAAATAAACGAGAAATTAAATTGAATGATAATACCGAACTAATAATATACGATTTTGTGGCAGCTGAATAAAAAGCCATTGGCGGCGCAAGCGGCACGCGAGGCATTAACCACAAGAACAACAAATTCACAAACTTTTTATACAAACTGCGGCAATAAAATTGAAAGATTTAAAAAATGTTTCAGCCTTTTGCCTGGGTAGGCGTGTTGCATGCGCTGCCAGCGGTTATCGCCTGATAACACACGAATAGCAATGTCGGATGGAATAATTATAGTAATAACAACTGAGAATTGTCTTGTATGGCGGATAATGGTTTAATACCCAGATTCACGAAGGAAATATGAATGAAAACTGAATTTAGATGATGTAAAATGAAAGAAATGTGTCCGTTAAGTCGGTTAGGTGTGTAATGCATAATAAAAGTAATAATGATAATAACTAATAAAATTGAAAAGTATGTAATAACTAAAAACTGGTTGTTTTATTTCGGGCCCTAATAATTTCCGGACTTACTTTTATTTTAACAGACTTACCAGATTAGTGTCTTTCATGATTTTAAATATTTAAATAAAAGTCCAGCTTTGCTTTTTGTTTTTGCTCTTTTGGATACCAAAAAAGTTGAAGAAATTTTATTGTTCCTTTACACATATATCTAATCGTATGCGGATAATGAAATCGATTCCGTTTAAAAATTTTTCAAAGGCAAAATTGTACATAATATGTAATTCGTTATGTAATCGCTCGTATATGTATATATAATTAATTCAATAACTCTTTTTTTAATCCATGAAGTGCGCTAAAAAGTAAACGTTTTTGTGTTTCAAATGCATTTCAGTTAGTTATTTATTATTTTTCGACATCTACAGACACTATAGACGTATTTAAGTGGTCGCATACCACTTCGAGAGAGAGCTTCTTCATCCTTTGTGTTTGTGTTTGTGTGTGGTGTATATCCAATCTAAACATTCATTTTAATTAGTAGTTCAAGTGGTAAAACATCTCTATACCTATTTATTTATTGTATGTACAATAAATTCGTATTACTCTTATTTATTGTTTGGCATTCGTATTTTGGACCTACGAACGTTGCTGACTAGTAGATTTGCTTTGTGCATGTGGGCTTAGTAAAATTTTTAAAGACGCGTCAAATCTTTAAACATATTTATAGGCCCACAACTATAAAACAAATCGTCTAGTCTCCTGGATTTATTCCAGTTGAAACAGATTAACAGTTGTATTAGTTGTAGGAATGTGGGATGTACCATTTGAGTACAACTGTTCATATTTAGAGTTATTAAAGTCCTATAAAGTTTTAATTGGTTTGTGGACAACTTTAACTCTAGTATATACGGTCTAACCTGATCACGTCTTATACGTTAATTTGCATAGCTAAGTATACAGCAATATATCAAGTCATCCATAACTAACAGGTCAAACATCTTACTGATAAACATTTACAAAACGCCTTCGTCAACGGTTTTATGAGTTATTTTGGTTCAACGTAGGCCCGTTTTCTTAATAAATTTAATGTTGTAGGAAAAAATTACGATCGTGATGTTTCGTATTGAATATATTTGTATCAAAATTGCAGGGGTTAGAATATTCATTTTTTTGACCCTTCTTAAAGAAAACATAAAAAAACCAAATACTTCTTAACAATTGGGAGTTATAAACTAAAAGTTTTTTAAAAGTGCAAAAAATCGAATTTTGTAACCCCTGAAACTTTGGTTAAAAACTGTTAAAATAGTTAAAAACCGTTAAAATGGTTACAAAAGTAACCAAATACTTGTCTACCATTCAACAATTAACAAGTTTTAAGAAAACGGACCTTCGTAGAATATTTAATAAAAAACAAACAAATTCTGTGGATCCCCCAGTTCGTGGTGTGAAAATACAAAACCAAACCAACCATTTTTGACCATTTCGAATTTCGTAATTCGAGACTTTCAGAACTGGTTGGTTTTAGAATTTTCACCTGAGCGCCTACAGATTATGAATTTCGAATATCTGCTTGCTGACAATAAGTATTTTACTTTGATCTAAATGTTGTGTGGTTGTAATCTTGAGTTGCACCGCTAAGTCCTACATTTAATATTTAGAATTGCATCCTCTGGTCGTAAAGCTACAAATATTAAACTCTATTTTTCGCCTCGTATGAAACTATTCTAGGTTTGTATTTTCGTAACTATTTGACCTCAGATCCCCCGTTTTTCGACGGATCTGCTGCCGGCTAACGCATTCGAATCGCACTTATCGGTGTTATGAACTAAGTTTTTGATTCTCTTGAATCGTTGTTTCCGTTTGTTTTTGTTTTTTGTATTTGATAATGCTCTGCACAAATAATCGACTTTATATTGTTTTTAGGGGTGTTGCTTAAAGGTTGCTTTTTTATCAACCACAGAAAAAATACATTTGTTTCTCCTAATATTAAATACTTATCTTGCGATCATTTTCTAAAAGTTGGCAACTCAAAAACATGCATCTCGGGGGGAGGGGGGAGGGGATTTGAGAAACATATTTTTAAGGTGGTCAGAGTTACCTAGTTCTAGAATATGAAATGGAATATTGCCGACTGAAGAAACACACCCGTGTTGAGATTTAAGCTTTTTTTTCAATCGATATTCGGATAAGTTTTTATTATTAAAAGACCTCGATGTTATTATATCTCTGAGGTATCTTTATGTGCAATCTTCAAGCTTATCCCCAGCATTTCCTGTTTTCTTTTGTGCAGGGCATTTTGGAGTCGACAAAGCCGAACCTTCAATGATCTTAAGCTGATTTACATGGCTGATGAGATCTGCTGCCCCTGTTGATAATGTTGATCTTGTTGTTGCTGAGGCGCTTGTTGCTGCTGCAGTTGCTGTTGTTGTTGCGGCTGCTGTTGCTGCTGCTGTTGCAGTTGCTGCTGCGGCTGCTGCTGGTATTGCTGCTGCGACTGCTGTGGATCCTGCAGGAATTGCTGTGGCTGCTGCTGTTGGAATGGCTGCTGCTGCGGTGCCAGTTGCAACGGCGGCGGTGTATTGCCAATTGCTGCCGCAGCCGCACGAGCATTCTTCTGCGTTGAGGCCTCGTTGGTCTTCAGGAAATACGTTATTAAATCGATGGGCAGCGGGAAAACAATTGTCGAGTTCTTCTCCGCGGATATGGTGTTGAGTGTCTGGTTTGCATTTAGGGTTTAAATTCAATAATAAATCTCTGGTAAAGTAAATCCCCGATAAACTGAGACCCACCTGTAGGTAACGCAGCTGGAGGGCTGCCGGCGAATCGCCAATCACCTCGGACGCCTCGCGAAGTGCCCTCGACGCCTTCTGTTCTCCTTCGGCGGCAATGACTTTGGCGCGGGCTTCTCGGGCGGCTTCTGCCTCGGCGGCCATGGCACGTTGCAGTTGCACGGGCAGGCGCACGTCCTTGCTGCTCGGTCGATGGAGAAAATGAGATTAGCCGGCGTGACTTGCAGATAGCGGTAATAGCTAAGACCATTTCTGCTTCCACAAAGTTTTTTCACTCAAAAAAAATTCACCTCAGAAACCAGGGAGATTAATATATTTTAAAACCTTTTTTTCCCCCAACGTTTTTTTTAAGAAAGCAAGCTATTTTAAAATAAAAATTACAAATAAATTGTTTATGCCATTTTCCCAATAAATAGTTAGCACTTAATCTTCCTAAGTCTGTACTTTTATTATATTTTCTATTCCCAAAAAAAAAAACAAATCAGTAACACTTCTAATAAAAATTGAATAATAAATAAACACTAGTTTTTTAAAACTAACAAACCCAACCGATATATAATTTCAATTTAGAATTAAACATCTTCTTTATTTTTCAAAAGTCTTAGACCTCATGACAATGATGAAATTTCAAATGCAGACGTGGAGGTTTTATTTCATGTGCTTATCTCAAGCAGTTTCCGTATTAAATTGGAAGCTATCAACTCAAAAGTGCTGAGCTCCATGCTAATGTGCCTCACAGCTCAGCGTAATGGGGCATCTTTAATTCAACTGCGGTCTCAGAAAACATTTTTTACGACCAACGAACCGTGAAGTTTAATTTATCAAATAATATTTATATCGCCCTATTTGTCTCAAATTTAAATCGAGTTATATAACTCATAAACACCAACAGAATTTCTCGCATCATTTTATTGGCCATTTGAGGAAGTTATAAACCCGCTGATCAATTTCATAACACAGACAGCGAACAAGAAGTGAGATGCAATAATGAAAAATTCAACAACTGCCATAAAATGAAACCGTTTTCATGGCAAAACGGCCAAGTTTTTGACTGGGGAAAAGTGGGAGTTTTTGGGATAAAGGTAGCAGCCACAGCATAACCGCAACAACAACAGCAATAATACTGGCGTCAAGTTGTTGCAGCTGTTTTAACATGGCCATCACACCAACAGGCTCCTCCATTTCGCCATATTGTTGGCCATGTATGAGCATTTGACATGCCAACGTCACACACTTGGCGCTGCGAAAACTGAAGCTGACAAAGTAGCCACTTGCCCCCCGTGAGCGACAAATAATAATTTATAACAACAGGGCCTCGGTGACAGCAGACAAAGGGCAGCAGTGGCATCAGTGGCAGCAACAGCAGCTCCCACTCACTCCCGTCCATCAGCCAGCCTTATTGTGATAAATGCCCGGAAAAATGGTAAAACAAATAAAACAAATAACCAACAAGCTCGAGTGCTGTGGCCTTGCTGGGACTATGACAATGTTTGCCGGGCTCAAACTAGCCAATTTAAATGTTATATAAGCTGGGAATTACTGAAGGCCCTTGGAGACTTTAGTCAGCAGAAAACAGCGGGGGCATCTGGAGTTTTCAAACGCTCTTATTGGGGTTTTGGATAGGCATCCTCGATTTGTCAGATAAAAAGTTAATTGGTTGAATTCTCATATTCTTTTTTTTTAAGATTAAACTTTCGCGTAAGTTGGTGTTATCTTAAAATACTGGTTAAAGTAAAAACAAGTTAAGAGTTCAACGGTGTAGACAGAATCAAACTATTTTTTCAATCTATACAACCTTGTTTATCAATAGCCATTTTTCACATATTAACTGTTATGTAAATTAGACAAGTTTAATGTAACTACGATTATTTCAAACCCCTTGTTTAAAAGGCCATTACATATTATCTAATTGAATTGAAAATAAACAAAATAAACATTTTAATGCAAAAAATGCCAACATAATTATTATATTTTTTAGTGAATGCAACTGTGTTAGTAGAGCAATGCTATTAAAAGTTATCTGGGCAAGTAAATTTCAGGAACCGAATTTCAAATCAGCTAACACTGCAATTCGTTTTAAAATTAAGTGGGACAAATCCCTAAAAGCCCTCGACCTAAACTATAAAATTCGAAAACACTAAAACTAATCCATTCCCTTTAAGGGAATCACCCCATGAGTAGCACTAAGAGGCAAAGCTCAGAATGTCCTTTAGAGCATATCAACTTCGACTAGGAGAGGTGAAACGTCGTTTATAACATTACTTTTATAGCTTGACATAGAAACTTTTCCAGGTTGCCACTGCAAGTGTTGTGTGTGGGGGTAAAAAAGCTGTGCTACTTACATTTCAACACGTTCAACTTTGATGCCCCAGGCATCGGTGGCTTCGTCGAGTTGAACCTGTTTATGATTGGACGCCAGGTGGTTTGGGTGGGTGTAGTCGTTGGTTGGTTGGTTCGTTGGTTGGTTAGTCGGTTGGAGGTGGATGAGCCGTGTGAGAAATAGCAGTAAAAATACATTAGTTTTTGTTTACACGCGTTTTTCAGGTCGTTAACAGTTTTGTTTCGGTTTTGCTTTTATTCCACACCCTCTCCCCTTGCCTAGTGCATTTTTCCGCACATTGTTTGTGGGTCGTGCAGCATCCTTGAAATGAAAAACTAAAAATGCAGCACTTGGCGTTGTCGAGGGGAGTGAAAGGAGCCATGGCAACTTGGCATTTTGCACATGTTCACATCGACGTGCACCACGTCGGCTGCTCGAGATTTTCGCCTGATTTTGAACTATTTTTCATATGGCATGGAAAATAAATAAATAAAACGACCCGTTGCCAGGCTTGCCATAGAATTTGGGTTAAGTTGGCATCTGCTAAGATATGCGGCTCGTAACTTCACCGCCTCTCCGTTGCCTTTTCAATTTGTAGCTATGAAAAAACGCTTTGGCTCTGGGATTATTCTCATGCCAGGCACGGAGGTCGACAGACACCGCCTTTGGCAGCTGTTAAATTTCGCAATTAATATTTCGCCGACGGAGTTTTGCCGCAAACTTTAAGCTTTATGCTGCATAATTACGAGCAGAGACTTAAATGTCATCTGTCAGCAGACGGAACTGCCAAGTAGCTGCCTGGCTGCATTTATTCTGCGTGGATTTTCTCGTTTCCTTTGTACACGGAAAGAAATAAATAGGGTAGATAAAAATGTCTGTAAATTTCAGTAAGTAAGTGTGCCTTATCCTAGCTTGCGAAAGAAAAGAAGAGTTCTATCCTTGAAGGTAAAAAAAAGGCGCCCAACGTGGGACATTTTAACATGATAACGGAAGTGAAAATGGCGCCCAACTTGAGTTCATTTGGTAGAAAAAATGGCGCCCTCCGTCGGACATTTTAATTTGTTATCTAACCACAAAAGCTTTTTTAATTAAGGTACAACATTGTAAGTTCAATTTTTATAAAAGCAATAATAATTAACTTTAAGATGTTTCCCCATTTCAACAGCGAATTCCTGTTATTAATTTTTTCTATGCACATTTCTCTGTGCCGGTATACTAAGTTAATTAGAGGAAGCAGCTCAACGGAGTCGCGACTCTAGAGAGGGAGTGAGAGTTTGTCGGCGGGCCGGGCCAACTGGCAACTGTCAACTGGTTTGAACTCACCTGCATCGTGCCGGAAATCGTCATACGCTCGCTGAGTATCTCATGCAAATGCCGAGTTCCCATTGTGTTTCGTAGAGTAGTCTGTGCCAGTAGCCTGGTCGAATGGTGAGCATTCTCCACGTTCGCGATAGAGACCGTTGCATTTGATACCCGATAGTAAACCACTGCATCCACCGAAACCGTAACGCTATCCTTTGTGAGAACCTACAAGATGCAGTGGGTATTTTTTTTTTTGGTTTGGGGACATTGCTTTTTGCTTTCTCTATTGTTCCTGCTATTGTTGTAGTTGGTCTGTTAGTTATTTTTATTATTCGCTTGTTATTGTTGCCAACAAACAAATTCAAAGACGTACAAAATATGTGCGTATATACAGAAAGACGCGCTTTGCAATTCGCCATTCATATACGAGTATATATACACATGGTGGGTGGTACTATGGTGATAAGCTAGGCATTTTGTATCTGTATCTGTATCAGTGGCTGGCCAGTTGTGGCGGCTGCTGTGCACTTTGTAGCCAAGAGTGGTATAATGCGAATGCACTTGACTTGAACGTCGCCGGCTTCTTCGACGGGTCGCTTTTCTCTAATAGAACTAAGTGCATGGAGTGCAAAACTTTTGCCTCAGACCGAGGACAGACAATGCCGAAAGACACACAGAAAAACGCACACTCACACAAAGGCAGTGCTTTCATTTTGATTATTGCATCTGTGGGTCTGTGCATTTGCATTTGCATTTGAATGTGTATCTGTGCCCGCGTCTGTGCATCTTTGTGCGCATTCCAAAGTCCCAAAGTCTTTTCGCATTGTTTTGCATTCAGCGAACTTTATTCTGTGGCAGCGAGAGTTATCCTAGCAATTTGCCGACACAAGTTTTATTTGCTCGAGTGGGATTCGATCATCTGCGCAATAGCGATACGTGGAGCAAAACCCAAGAGTTTGAAGGTTACAGTGTATAAGTTATGGTACAGAGAGTGGGTAAATTATACGAGTACCCGTGTAAACGTTGCAAATTATAAGCCGAAAAAGTAGGGAACTCAAAAGCTAATCAAACTCAAGAACCGAAGGCATTAAATCGTTTGTAGAAAAGGTCTTACTTTCTACCAAGTGGGAAAGAGAAAGAGTGGCTAAAGGGGTTGGGGGAAGAGAGATGTGACGGGGTCGTGGGCGGGTTATGTACACTTTTTTTTTGGGTACCGTGCTTGGATTTTTCTCTGTCCTGACCGCAAGTTTACTGGCCCTGCCCCAATGGTGTCAGCCTCGGCTCATGATGCCCAAATCGAATTCTCAAATTTTATTTTTCTTTTCCTTTTGGCCAAAGGCCCTGCTCGCATAAGTTGGCTAAACTTATGCCCAACTATCTCCCCGCACTGGCACACACACAAGTGCACATATACCAGTGGTAAAAAGTTGTTCCCTCAACGACGGGAGCGCTTTACGTTTTATGACCTGCCCAAACATTGTTCGGCGTAGTCTAGACCGCTTTTTACGGCCTCTACAAAGCTGAAGCTGTGGTGTCAATGTTGTTTAGTGTCATCGTTTCCACTCGGCCAGTTTCGAGGGTTTTCCAAGCCCTGCCTTTTGTGGGCGAACTTTCGGAAAGGCAAATCTCTAGCATTTTGCATGTGAATCAACTGAAATGTGAACAGCAGCCATTGGAGAAGTTCTAAGGCGGGGTCGGAAATGTTCCTGCAAATCCAGTTATGCATTTGAATTTAGCAAGATTTATTCTATTTGTTCTGCTAGGATAAATGGGTCTTACTTAAAAAAGTTTCAAGACGAAATGTAGAATTTTGTTGTTTTCCTCATCTGCTCAGAGTTATTCATTCTTTTGTTTGAAATAAACTAGACTTTAGTTTGTAAATAATTTTAAGGAAAAATATGTCTTTCTGTTTCTGCATTTGAATATTTTATAACTGCGGTAATAAAAAAAGTTGTAAGACTGAGTCCACGGGGCGTATGTGTGATATTGCAGTCATAAACTGTAGTTTATTTAGTTTAATTTTGCCTTCCTCTTTTGGCTGCTTTTCATTTTATTGTCCGAAAGTTATTTTCTTTACCTTTTTTATGCCTCAGTTCGTAGTGAAATAAATTTTTGATCTGAGGCAACAGTGCGTATGATTAATTTTTGAATATACCTTCGTATCTCTGACTAGAAGCATCAACTTAAGTCGGCTTCCATTCTACTAATTAATGGGTTAAGCAAATAATCCGTAAATTCAATTGGGCATTGTGTGCAGTCTATTGAAATGTTTTTAGGGCCTTCGATCTGCATACCTTGGCATAATCATGCACAATTCACTTCATTATGAATGCCGTTCGAGCAACCAAAGCCTGCTGCCTGTCCATGGACAAAGCCCTAAATCAATTTGGCTCGAACAATGGCTTATTATTTCGAACAATAGTTGGGTGGTTAGTATAGGGTGGCGATTGGGCGGTGGGTGGTGGGCTGTGGGCGGTGGTTGTTGGGCTGTGATCTGTGTTCGGGTGGAGTGGAGTGATGCAGAGTGGGTGGGATAAGTCGCTTGTTCATTGCATTTTACAGAATTGAATTGAATGAGCAAACGTTCTGGAATCAACGATGAAACCATGGGAACAAGAGCAGAGAAATAGAGGTATAGAAAAGGGAAATCGGAAGTGAATGAAATGAAAATTTCAAACGATAGTTTATACACTGTAACACCTAAACTAAAGAGTTTTCAAAAAAACATAATTAGGTTATTTATTACAATTTGCACAGTTGTTGCTGGGAATCGTTCAGCATTTTCATCGATATTGGTAAGTATTTAATTTGGAAATGGACTCAACTGAAAATATGTATTATTATTAGCAAGAGAGCGACAGTTTGAAAGAGTCGGAGTGAAAAAATAGTTGGTTAGCCTTTAAATCACAGTTATTTTAATTTATTTTTTGCTAGAGCTCCGGACTTGTCTACTAAGTATCTTATAACTAACTATAACCTATTCTATGGGGCAACTACTGATGTTGATGCTGTGATGCTGGGACTAGCTCTAGCTTTATCTTGCATTTTTGATTTACTATATAGCTAATATATTATCACTAATACACGTAAGATACTAGCGCGTTTTGGAGGGCGGGCGGCGCTTCTAACGTTTTTCTAATGCTCTGGCTTTTGGCTTTTTGGCCTGCATGCGTGCAGGAGTTGAGTTACCACTTTTCAACAGCTTAAACCACGCAAAACACACATAGATGAACTCGACATTATGTATATATGTATATTCGCTGTGCGGATATATATATCGCATATATACAATGTGTTTTCTTGCATACTTTTTTGGGAGGGGTGCGTCCTTTCGCTTGTGCTCAAACAAATCAAATGGTAACGATTTAATTAGTTAGTTGTACAATACATAATTGTTGTTGTTCTTTTTTTTTTGGACGGGGTGGTGGTGGTATTTTGGGTCTATTTTTTTTTTTTTTTTTTAGAAACTATAACGTATTTGTGATTGTGTGTGAACTAAACGGCGAATGTTTGATGTCTGTGTGTGCTTTGTGTGTGTTATATTTTGTGTGGTTTACTTTTATTTTGATTTTTACTGTTGTTTTCCAGTTTGTACCAACATTATAAACAATCTGTGGCTGGTATTTCGTATCGGTTTTGTTATTGTTTTGTTTAAGACAGTTAGAAAGCTTTTTAGAATAGACATTTATGGAAATATATATTTAGCATGCTCTCAAAAATTATTTGAACGCTTAACCGAACAGGGGAGAGTGGGGGTTTATCAAGTAAGTGCATTTCGATAGTAATTTTCTTTTTTTGTGTGATTGGTTTTGAGGGTTTTGCTTTGGTAGTTGGTTAGTTTTTGTTTTGGTTCCGGTTCTTATATATGGTTTTGCTAAACAAAACGTACATAGCTCATAAAACAAAATCAATATATATGTAGATATATAGAGACAGAGAGAGGTGGTATATAATATAGTTTTATATAGAGCGTGGGTAAGATAGACAGTCAGATAGAGACAGAGACATATAGATAGAATAGACAGAGAGAGATAGGGAGACAGTGAGAGATCGGTTTTGTGGCTGCTTAGCAGGAGAGTGAGCAAGACAGATGTAGACAGATAGAGACAGGTATGTAGATAGACAGATTATAATTTGGTGGGTGGGTGTGCAATTAACAGTGTTTCTGTTTGGTTTTTAATGGGGGTACCACTTGCATTTTAAGCTACGCAAGACCTAAGGTTTTTTGTCTGTGTTCTAGTATTTAGCTGTCTTTGTGTGGGTGGGTGGTCTTGGAATTTGCGTTTGTGTGAGTGCTGCACCCTGTGTTCAGTGAACAAACATTTGACATTCATTTCTTCATTAACTTTTCGTTTTTTGAATAGACAGAGATAGAGACAGACAGTGAGTGACAAACAGGAAGATAGAGAGGGAGATAGATAGAGATAGGGTAGAGATAGAGATAGAGGGGTTATGTGTGCGTGTGAGAGAGATAGCCAATGCGTAATGCGTACAGTTCTTTTGTGGTTTTGCCCCGCCCCCGCCCACCAATTCGGTTGCATATGCATATGTGGTGCTCGGCTGAACACAGAGAGCGAGACAGATAGATAGAGAGAGATAGAATTTTCAGTTGATATGCATTCTGGCACTTTTCTTTTGATATTTTTTTTAAAATTTTTTTCGGGTTTTTTCATTCCTAATTGCAGGAGACAATCAGAGCTTTAACTATGCAAATTGTAATAACTTGAAGTTAATGTTCAAAAGACATCAAAAACTAAATACGATTACGACAATGATTACGATACGATTCAAAATGAAAAAGAAAAAGAAAAGATAACTAAAACGAAAGTGAAACGAAATGATGCGCAAAAATCGCATTTCGTATGCACTTAAAGGGGATATTTTCGGGTGAATGTGTATGTAAATCTGGGCTTGTATGTGTCTTGTGGTGTTTGTGAATAATAACAACGTCAACGAGATGGCTTTAGGGATTTTTTCCGATTTTTTCATCTTTTTTTCTTATCCTTGCTGCAGTGGCCTTCATGCGATTTACACAAAAAACCGAATAAACTCAAATGGAACACGAGAATGCTGGCGGATATGCAAAAAAAAGTATTAAAAAAGAGGGGTATTTTTGGCTTTGGTGTGTGAGTTTTCGTATATGAGTGTGAGTGAGTTTGCTCCACGTGACGTCAGCAAGATGGTTGAAAAGCCAACGGATTGAAATCGAACCAGTTACCATTATTTCTATCTTAAAATTCACTTTAGCCTCGCTTTTTTCGCTTCTCCATATTTCATTTAAGTCTGGCGAGCGAACAATGAAATATGCACAGGTAAAAATGAGAAATGTGTGGGGTTGGGTTGGGCTTGATTGCGATAAAAGATCAAGTAAGCGAACTAAAGGATGAAAAATTCCCAAAAATAAATGGAGCGCGTATCATGATGAGACTCCTGAATCTGTGTGCGAGTATGGGTGTGTGTGTGTGTAAAGGAAAGGTGAGTTTTTCCTCTGTACATGTGTGAGTTGTGGCAGTGTGGTTGGGTGCACACCAATGGCAATAATAATAAAAATTCTGCAACATTGTTCAACTTCAATACGACAACAAGTACCATACAAAGTATTTAAAATATATATTTATTTATATAGGATACAACAAGACTACCAACAACAACAACAACAACGAGAGAGAGTAGAGAGAGCAATGTGTATGTGTGTTTGAATATGTGTGCGGTTGCGTTGTGGGTGTTAGAACCACTTTTCCCTTTTTCATATATATATGTATATAAAAACAAAATGGACTGCAGCCACTCGAAATGGGAGGAAAAAAAAATTAAATAAACTATAAATGTGGCCAACACAAAATGGTTTTCTTTCACTTTGCTGTTGATGATGCTGTTCTTTTGATATTGTAGTGGTTAGAAAGAGGGTTTCTTAGCTGGTTGGGAGGTGAAGATAGATACGTTAATAGATACAGATAGCCATAGACATAGATAGATATAGATAAAGATAAAGATATAGAGTGTATATAGAGGGCGAGGAGGAAGACACAGAGATGGAGAGGCTGCAGCAGAAGGAAAATCAAAATGGAAAAGAAAAGTTACAAGAAAGTGGAAACCAAAAGTAAACATCGTGACATGCGACGACAACAAGAACGAGGGGAAAAAAACGTCAAAGAAAGAGAAACGAAGAATCAGAAAGACAACGTTGCGTATGCGTAATTCACGCTCCAGTTGCGCGTCCTGTATCCTTGTGTCTGTATCTGTATCTCAGAGTGTGTATGTGTGTGTGTCTGGGTGTTTGTGTGGCTTTTTGTGTCCATGTGTGTGGGTGTCCTGTCAGCAGAATCCACACAACAACTCGGATTCCGGCTGTGCTCAGCCGAGCTTCACTTGCGGATTCCGCCAACAGGGCCAAAATCTGTAGCTTTGTATCTGGCTGTGTGTATACTTTTTTTTGGTCAAAACACAAAACAAGAAAATGCAACCAAATAATATATATTTATATATATCTTGTTAACAAACGTGTCGGCTGGAATAACTTGTGGCAAAAGCTGAAAGTTTAATTGATTTCTGCTTTACTTGGCATCGTTTAAAGTTGTCATGTGTGTGTGTGTATGTGGGTTTCGGGGGACTTTTTGAGGTACATAAACTTAAAAGATTTTCACTTCTGGTTAATAACAACAACAACAACAACATTGAAGAGGTTAGCAGCTGTGGCTGCCATTGCAGGTTATAACTGCCATTTTTTTTTGTATGTTTCCATCCGGAACTGTTACCGGAACTTACCTCCTGCGGTGGCACATCGTAAGTGCGGGTACGCAAGTCCACGCGGGCATAGGAGTCGATGCAGGGCAGGATGAAGAAGATACCTGCAATTATGGTTCAGATGCTTATACCGCTCGTTATGAGATACTGCGAAAACTACACTGGCTAACCGGGGTTTAATACTATGGCTCTTTAATGTTGGTTTTAAGATAAATTTGTATTTGAAATATTTTTTTGAGCTACATAACTTTAAAATACTACTTTTAATTTGTATAGCTCTCGTTATTATAATATTTTTAATAGCATAAAGACTGAATAAGTAGATCAGAATCTTCTTTTAATTTAATAGTTAATTTAAGGTATAATAATTAATTATATATCAATTAATCAAGTATACAAAAATATTTTAGAAAATGTATATAGCTATAATGAGCTTTAAGACAAATAAAGCCTGTACACTTTCAGTGATTCCCCTTGTGCTAAATCACAGTGGCCAGAAAACTCTTCAAAAATTATGCAAACTAGTGTCATGACTGTGGAAGAAGTTCGCCTCGATTTGCCTAATCTCTTCCTCCCTCGGAATGGGAGCACAAAAGCAGAGCACACGGACAGAGGCCCGCCCCAGAGTCGCTAATTTGGAGCAAGTGCAGCAATTAACACAAATTCTTGTCGCCAGCGAGCGGCACTAAAATTTGCATAGAATCGTTACCCCACCTGCTCACCTGCAACCCGCAACCCCATCGTGCAGCTGTGCAACTGCAGTCTCTACTCACCTGGGCCCTTGGCACCGCCCTGCATGAGGCGACCCAAACGGAAGATAACCGCGCGCTCGTACTCCTGCACCACCTGCAAAATGTGGCACGTGAGTGAAATGTTCATGAAATGAAATTGAAACTTGAAGAAATGCCAGGGGGACAACTTAAAATTACCCTGGGATTATTCACTTATTTTATTTGGTTTCAATTTTAGAAAAAATGAAAAGAAAACCATTATTTATGTGCCTTAAAAATATGTTATTTAGACATTTAAGAGAAACAATTATCGTTATGAAAATAAGCTTTTTTATTAACTCACTGTTTACTATTTTTTTTTTTTTGCAAATTAATTTGTTAATCTTTAAGATGCTATATACTTGGATTTTAAAAGTTTTGTATATTATATTTTGATTTTAATTTGGTAAGTCACTTGAATTGTTTTTCATTTTATGACAAAAAGGCTTGCAAAAAAAATAAGTAATTAAAATGTGTCTTGTTTAACAGACTTATGTCCAATGAAATTAATCCTTTCAACACTTAAAATGTTTTTAAAGAATAATAGATAGTATTTTATTATTAATAACAGGTATTAGCAAAATTGGTTTTTCTTAAACAATGTATTTAGAAGCCCATAAAAAATGTATATATTTTAATGAAATGCTTACCTTGAAGCAGACGAAGAGACTGAAGGGTAACGTCATTATCACAAGAGCCACGGAGAGAAATATTAGCAATTTTCCGCATGTTGATGCCTTATCGCTGATTTCCTCGTCCGCTGCGAGAAAACGTGGCGAGAAAACGAGAAATGTTCTTATAAATATATGTAACATGGCGGGATGGAATCAAGTGCTCAAAGCAAATGCTGCAAATTAAGGCTTAAGCTATAAATTCGTTTTGTATTTTCCTCGCTTTCCTTGGGCTCGGCTCTGGTGTGGAAAGCCAAGACTGTTACATGAATAATGCGCTGAGCACCAGCAAAAAAATAAGAAAAAATCCTTAAACGAAAAACCTCCGCATGGCGCATACAAAAATCGCAGACAGAATGTCGGAAAAAAGTTGTGAGCAGAAAAAAAAGGGCATTCTTCATTACGGAGTACTCGTATTACACTTAAAGTTTAGCCAAAAATTGACGTTTGTGCATGATTTCGGGGGGTGGGCAACAAGTCGCCCATTTTGCTTATTGATACTTGAGACGCGCCATAATTTCGATGGGGCCCTTGTCGCCTCGTAAAAGTCAAAATGTTGTTCCCTTGGGGAGCCTGAAAAAATCTGTAGCATACTTAGGTGCGCTCACCGAGAAAAAAAAAACGGAGACGGATATCGAAATACAAGCAAACAAGGAGTGTGCATACATTAAAAGGAAAATCTCAGTAAATACTCATAGATAGTTCATTATAGTTAGAAAGAGTTACACATAGAAAGTAGAGTATAGTTATGTTAACAGGTTAAAAAGTAGCTTTCGTGTCTTATGTGTGTTTCGTTTTCTGTTTGATTTTGGCTTTAGGATGTGGGGATCTTTTTCTGTTTTTTCTTGGGCATTGTCCAAATTGGTGCGACTTACAATAGAGAAATCCATGTGAATGTTTTGCTTGTGTATCTGCAAGAATACGATAAATCGAACAACAAGAGAAATTAATCGGGGGGAATGCTTTTCGGCTCGATCAGCAGCTAGCCAATTGGTGTGTTTGTTTTAATTTTTTTGGGGAGCTGGTTCTTGTGTTTCCACTTGGTATTTGAGTGCTCTGCGATCCGGGGATCTACTTAGCTGCTCCATGCCATGCATTTTTGGTTTTTGTGGTTTCTTTTGGGTTAATAGCATGCTCAAACGACGAACTACGAAACTCAAAAACTAACTACAAACCAAGAAAAATCATAAATTATTCATGCCACACATTTAAATGCTGTTTACGCGCTGCTGTTGCAGTTTGTTTGCCTGCTGGTTTTTGGTTTTCTGGTTTCCCGTTTTAAGTTTCCAGTTTCAGGCTGCAACTGCTGGCAATTAGCGGCACGGCACAGTTTGCATTTCAGTTTCAATTACAGTTCATTGAAAAGTTGCCACAATGCCAACACCCAGCAACGGCGACGTCAGCAAAGTGTTTTTAACGAGCTCTCACCCACCCACTCACTCCAACGCACACACACACACACAATACACACACAATACACACACTCACTCACACAGACAAAACATGAAAAGCGACACTGGAAAGAGGAAAACTTTTTGATGGGCGAATCCCAGAGCTGGCTAAGCCAACAAGCTGCCAAACATTCTGGGCTCCTCCTCGCACCCACCTTCAAACTCCTGGCGCACCGCAGCAAACTTTTATTGAAATTGATTTCAGAATAATTGCGATTTGAATGTGCCAGGCGCAATCCGAGAGTTTTGCGTCGAGATGAAAGGCTTTCTGGATTTGTGGGTAACGCCCGAGGCTGGTGACCGCAGACCTAATAGATTTATAGCTAAATTGCTTCCATAAAAATGATAAAAAGATGGAGGAAGAGCCGGAAAAAGAGTAGCTGTTGAAATTGTAATTAGATGAATGGCTATCTGACCCTAATTGCATCACCTTAAGCCTGGTTTTAAGTGGGTTTATTACACACACATTTAATATATGTTGAAACATACTTTTTTTTTGGTTCACAAAAAAAATATCTCAAAAAGTTAGTGTAATATTTAAAAATTTAAAAATAGGGTGTCCGTACTTAATATAAACAGCAAAGTTCGTAATCCTGATTTTTAGAAACCTATTCGAAACTGTGTGGATATTATGAAAATATTTGTTATGATTTTCGAGGTACAGAATGTTTGAGCTTAAATTTGACCCAATTCGAGATAATAGTATCACGAACTTTCCAAAAAAAAGTTTCCAAATAATTAGGTCATGATTTTCTAGATACATGAAATCAGTGATATTTGGAATAGAGGATGTCCCAATTTGAGCTAATGGTTGAATGGTCGAGAAGAGTTTTAAAAAAGTTTTAAATTAAAAATAGCTCAATTGCGTATTTTGACAGTAGATATGTTAAAAAACATTTTATTAATTTGTGCCTACTTGCAATTTAAACAAATCAAATACAGAATGTAGTATTTTATAAAACTTCTACTTTAGTTATCAGTAAAGGATATGATCACTAATATTTGAGCACGGCTTGCCCCTTTTTTGCCTGCAGGTTATTTAGTTTCTGTTATTCCATTTGTGTGGGGCCCCAAAACAAAAAAAGAGCTGAATTTACCTTAATGTACAATCTCGGAGAACAATGTGTGTTCATAATTTTTTAATGACCAGCCAACGGCTGTCCAGCTGCCGCCCACTAAACCCCTTTAACCCACCGCTCCCACACCCACACCCACAACCCCCCCTCCCACGTCAACGCATACGTCAGAGCGGCAGCCCCTGGCAAAAAGCTTTGCTCGGGAAATAGGTCAGCTTGTTGTTGCTGCTGCTTCTGCTGCTCATGCTGCCGATGGTGTTGCTGTGTTGTGGTGGTCCTGGTATACTCGTAAGTTAAAGCAATTTCTGATTGAATTTTGCATGGGAAATGCGAGAGACTGAACGCTTTTCACGGAGAAGAGTCCGCTTGTCAGGACCTAATGAAGCGATTAGCATGCATATGAGAAATGGCTTCGAGATACAAACGCTATATAGACATTTATGTACACCTAACCTGATTAAGCACAGATACACAACATTCGGTAGAAAGAAAATACGTATTGAATACAAAAAATCCGAATTGTGATTTGTGGCGTCTCTGATCGAAAATTTTGGTGTATAGCGTATGCAATGCGAATTGGGGGGTCTCTTTTGGAGACCGAGCAACAAGTTCAGGCCAGCCTACAGTGCATACTCGATATAAGAGCCACCAGCAACATCAGCTCACCTCTATGCGCCTCGGCTCGATGGATGGCCTGCTGCTGTTGGGATTGCTGCATTAGGGCATGATGACTGTGTGGCAGTTGCTGCTGCTGCATCTGCTGCTGTGGTTGCTGCAACATTTGCTGCTGCTGCTGTTGTTGCTGCTGCATCTGCGGCTGCAACTGCTGCTGCTGCTGTTGTTGCTGCTGCTGCTGCGGCTGTTGGTGGTGCTCGCGTTCCCTGATCTGCGGCTGCTGCTGCTGCTGTTGATGCAACTGTATGGAGGCATTCACGGGCAGCGGTGATGAGGCCACATTGTTGGACTGATGGTGGTGCAGATGGTGGTCCCTGTCCCTGTCGCGTTCCCGATCCTCCGTTTGACTGGCCGCCGGCGCTGGTGGGGCAAAGGTGCTGGTGCTGGCCGCCAAGCGACCGCTCTGATGGTGGTGCGACTGCTGCTGCTGGCGGTGCAGTTGATGGTCCCGATGCTCCATGTCCATCATCGAATCGGGCATCAAGCCGCGCTCGCAAAACGACGCCAGTGCGGCGGCTGTTCCCGGCTGCTCCTGGTCAATCAGAGTGGTTCCGTTTTGCGGTCCTATTGGTCCAATTTGGTCCTAGTCCTGCATCGCACTAGCTCTGGGTCTTTTCCCTTTTCTTCACCTCACACACACACTGTCACTACGGGTTCAACACACACACTAGGCTGAGCTAGTTTTTCCAGCTCTGTGTCCATTTCCCTTCGGTGGTACGGTGGTACACTCTCTCCTGGTCTCAGCTGCCACTGATGTTGCTGCTGCTGCCTCGCTCGGAATCCAACTGAAAGTGCGCCAGCAGCCAGCATCCTTTTATATCCTCGCCAGCAGGACCTGCTCCGTGCCGAGCCAAAGCTCGCTCGCTCTCAACTTTGTTATCACCAGGCGGCAGTCAGCCAACCAGCCAGCTAACATCGGGGATCAAAGAGCTTTTGCTCTCGTCGGTGGTGCAGGTTGCAGGTGCAGTCGTGGCCGCCGCCGTAGTAGAGATTCAACTTTCACCTTTCCCAGCTTGCACTGACCTTGCGCACTTCCCGAAACATTGGTCCTGGCTTCAGGAACTTCAGGAACGAAGCTTTCTCTTCTCGCCAAGCTTTATGTTTCGTCCTGGCTGGGGAAATGCGCAACAGAGATGGAGAGATGCTGGTTTTTAGAACACCCTCCCCCCTCCCGACCGGAGAAAGAGACAGAGTGTGTGTGCTAAAAGAGGACACATTCCCCTACTCAAAAACAACGAGCTCGTGTGTGTACAGGTGACAAACCTAATTTATGACACCTTCGACACTGTTGTTGCCCGAACCACCTGCTCCACCACTCGCATCCATTGTAGTCTCTGTGTGTTTGTTAACTGGCATGGAATGATATGAGCACCGGCCCCGGTGCCTCCACACCACACCACACCACACCATCCTGGCATCCAAACACATCCTGACACAGCCCGCCACGCTTGACTGCGAATTTCTAATGAATCCACCTCCGAAGCCCCTCGAACTGTCGAATATTTTAGGTCACCTGCAGCTCCTGAGCTTTGCTTTGAGCTGTCAATTACCGTTTACGCTTCATTAAGCGCCAAAAGGGGGTGTCGCCGTGCACAGGGAGAAAATATGAAGCGCATTGATAAGCAATTGTGCATCCCTTTGCCTCACAAGATCCTCAAAAGAACCCTTTAAAAATTGAAGCCTGACTTTAAAGTTTAGGAAAGAAAGATATTTGTAAGACAAAGTTTGTCTCTTTTTGATAGTTAAGAAATGGTTATCCTAATCCTCATTTAACTTTGTAATTATGTTTCTTTAAAAGAAGATTATTGAAGTTGTAAAGAAATTTAAGTTAAAGCAGGTTTAATGAAGGTTATGAAAACAAAGATTCAAAAGGTTAAAGCCTTTAAA